GGGTCGGGCGGGGCGCGGCGGCCGCACTCGCAGCCCCCCGCCTCGCCGCCCTCGCCTCGCCCTCCACCCTGACAAACAAAACAATGCATTAGCTATATGCTTATAGAAGGTAAACCCAATCAAAAGGAAACATTTAACTTACATCAAACTATGAACAGATAATGTCGTCAACCATTTTAGAACCCTATACCTCTAGTGCGACTAACCTTGCATCAGGATTTAAGGGTATATGAATCAAGGCGATCTCAATTGGCTTAGGAATATCGTACATAACCAAAGGCGCAAAGCAAGTCGTTTAGTTTAAAAAGAGGTTTGATAGAAATAGATAAACAATTGAAAAGAGATAAGCTATTCTCAAGTGATGTTGAATACATAATTACAAGATCTGATTACAAGACAGATATTTTATATCTATCAAGCATCTATAGGTTATCAAAAGATCTGAATCATTAACACGTATTGTTACAGTGACTTACAAAGGTGAACGGCAAAAGGAGGCTTGTATATTAGATAAGTGCACAGATCAACAAAGATGCCCTCTTAAGGCGAGACAGAGGTCGCAGCTAGGTGCTATGCCAAAAACGCTCTCGAGAGCAAGGTTCATACTTGAGATGCACTTATACTACACAAAACTATTCGTAAAATCATAAGTTAGATGTTGATTACAAAACGAGCGAGCGGCAACCTGAAATCGCTGAAATTGCGAAGAGACCGTTGCCCATAGACATACGGAATTGCATATGCGTTGCCTACTTTGATAGACGGAGGAGAGGTTGCACAGAAAGAAAATATCTTCCCTTTCCATGCATTCTCTCATCCGGAAAGTCCACTTCCACTTCCCATTCTTTCCTTATAAGAAAAAGGGTGGGAAGGGAAAGGGGACTAAGTAAGGCCTCCGGGACGCACACTCATCAGACGAAACGCGGAAATGCTTCCACTTCACGCCTGTCTTCTGTGTGGTCGTGGTATTTCACCGGGCGAGCCAAGACAATTCGTGCGACGATGTTAAAGCGGGTTCTACCACTGTTAAAACCACACCACTCTACCGCTCGCTAATCTTCGCCATCATTTTGGCTTCGTCTTCCTATTTTTGATTTGTCGCCCTCTTTGCCTTTTCCCTTCTCTGGGATACAAATCCATGTTATCTTTAGTCCATTTTCTTTTGTTTTTGCATAAAGAGAGCAATTAATACACAATTTACTTTTGGTGTTATGGTGGATTAGACAAAATGCATTCGCTTAGAATCGATTCCCTAGCGAACTTAAAAATTGTATGGAATTGACGCGATACATTCACGTGACTTATCCAAAGTTATTGTCAGTTCTATACATTTTTGAAGTCCGTTATGGAATCGCTTCATAGAGAAAGCACTTTGTCTAAACCTCCTGGGGTTATACTTTACTTAAAATTCTTTACAATGAAGTTTGTAATACAATAAATATGCGCTTCCCAAACAGCAATGATAACATCTTACATTGAATATATTCAAATGATTCACTTTGCGGAAACTATGTTGCCAGTTGTACACCACTGAGTGTAGGAAGTCAGTTTTACTGTTGTAATAAACGTAATTAATGTGTTATGTTCAAAAGCGTGAAATTAGTGAAGAACGTTGGTGGCTCAGAGGTTAAGAACTTGATTTGTAATCTGCAGGTCTTGAGTTCGAATCTCGCCATGTACCAATATGTTTTACATACTGTTTGGAAGAAGGAGAACTGATCGCCAACCTTCGTTAGTCGGAGAGGCACCTCAAGAAGAAAAAGAAGGAAGAAAATCCGACACTGTGCCGGTGTACTGGCACAATACTAGCCTTACTAAAATGTCGACGTTTTTGTCCCCTCACTATTCATTCTGACACTGGACTTTGTAACGAAAGCACGTCATTCACGCCAAAGGATTCTAACTAACAATGTCTAAAAATATCAACATTTATCCGACGTTCTTAATGTGAAGGAAAGCATTGTAAAAGCAACTTGTGCATATCAGCGAAGATATTTTAAGAAATTGACACAATTTCCGAGAGAAAAGACGCGACCCGTCACCTCCTCCGAAAGGGCGACAAGTTTATTGCTGAGGTTTGTGCCACGCCAAATGAACACCATGTTTTCTGCCTACCCCTCTGGGTTGCTAGTGTCAGTTGTGGTGTTTGTTCGTATTTGTTTTTTATTGCTTTTTTATTTATTTATTATTAAAATGTTCATTAATGTGATCAAATTATCATTTGTTCAGATGAAGCTGAATTATTTTGTAAACGAAAATCATATAGTCAGTAATATTCGTTAAATTTGAAGATATTTTTATATATTTTTATTTAATAACTAAGCCTAAATTCTAAAAAAAAATAGAAATCATATTAAAATCATCTACGTAAAGGATGTTCAAAAAATATTTTACTTTTTTCTTACTATCTTATTTAAAAAAAATAAATGATGTAAATCAATCAAGCACACACTAAGGCGTTAAAATGCTCTCATCATGTCTGCCTGAGTAGCATCTGCCACATCAATCTAAAACTAAACGAAAACGTTCCCCCGTAACCTAACAGTTTCAAAATAATCAATTAGCCTAATGAAATTATTATAATACCAAGCAGGGCTGTCAAGGTCTATGAAAACAAAAAAAAAAGATAAAATTTTTTACAAACAAAAAAGTGACAAATATTTATTTTTAACTAGCTGTCGCCCGCGACTCCGTCTGCGTGGATATATAAAAAAACTTAATATATAGATTAGTTAAATAAAAAGCAGTTCTCCAAGGCATAAATTCGAAAAAAATAAAATAAAAACTAATAAATAGTATCTTATGTCCGTCTCCTGGCTCTAAGCTAACTCCTCACCAATTTTCAGGCATATCGGTAAAGCCGTTCTTGAGTTATAAATAGTGTAACTAACACGACTTTCTTTTATATATATAGATGAATATATTATTTTTTTTGATAACTTTTGCTATTTCATTCCGTATTCAAATTTAAAATTGGACCAATTTTGTCATATTTTTTTGTCCAAGATAAATGGCCATCTTTTTAATACCATTTTTATAAAAAAAAAATCTTGATAAAATAAAAACCTATTTTAATTTTAGACATTTCGACTCATCCCTAAATGAAATTGATAAAGATACCCAATGTCTAGTGTTGTTTTTTTTACCTGTCGATATTTTATTCGTATCGATTATCGTAAAACGATTCGTGATCGGACAAAAGCAATTAGTGCGTGACTGTACGCAATACGATCTCAATATGTCGTGTGTAACGAATTTAAATAAAACATCGATATATTGACGTGATCTTTACTAACATTTCATGAATAATGTAGCACTACGAGTATATTACATTTTGCAATTATAAAACATTTTTAAAATGGGGAAATTGCCACAGTATTTGTTATCTAAAAGATTATTTGTCGAAGCATACTGACTGAACTCCGGAATTGTCGGCCGATGACGTAGCTGTATAGCGCTCTCATGTATTCCCATACGTTTGTCTCGCTCTGGTGCAACGGCCGAGCGTTGTCGGAACTTCCCGGCTTAATAACCATAATATGTCAAATTAAACTCTATAAATCGAATAACACTTCAGACATCAAAATCGATTCCTACGTTTAGGTTATAGGAGTTTACAAACAATGAGGAATTTATATTATAAACTCGAATTATTTACCCAAAAACTTAAATAAATACGTGCGAAAATAAAATCAACATCGTAATGTTGAATACAGAAGAGTAGTCTTTTACCCCATTTTATCCCGTTGTGTAGTTTAAATAAAAGTACCTGGATGATCGGTCATAAAAAAAAAATACCGAGCAAAGCTCGGGCTTTGCTCGGTATTTTTTTTTAATTGTGTTTTTTGGAAATTACATTTAAGTACGAATTACTAATAAAATGATGAAATATGAATATTTTTCGATCTTACCGATAGAAAAAGTTAAGTTTATGTTTAAGTTGATTATCGATAAAACACGAATAAAATGACATTTTCTAAAAATGATTCCTAGCTAGATCGATTTATCGCCCCCAAAACCCCCTATATACTAAATTTTATGAAAATCGTTGTAGCCGATTCCGAGATTCCAATTATATACATATACAAGCGGACCCGACAGACGTTGTCCTGTCTACACGTCTTTAATTTGAATAAATTAATATGAAGTTAATATTTGATGAAAATTGTGAATCTAAACCATTCCCAGATCACCTTGAACATACACAAAAAATTTCATCAAAATCGATCCAGTCGTTTGAGAGAAGTTCAGTGACATACACACTCACAGAAGAATTATATATATAAAGATATATATATACAAAAATTGCTCATTTAAAGATATAAGATAAATAAATAAAGGATAATAATAAGCCCCTTGGAGTCACATGAATTATATCAAGTTTCACGAAAACCACAAAATTCTTTTGACACTCGACCTCGAATCAGTGGTGTCTGGGACCTTGTGGTTCTGTGGAGAAGGGAAGCGCATGTCTGCAATTGCAGGACGTAAAAACTTTCCGATTTTACAGGGGAATGAATAATTTTATAAACAAAAGAATAACAATTAAATGAATATGTATGTCTTTTCGTTTATAATATTTACTAGCTGTCGCCCGCGACTCCGTCCGCGCGGGATTAAATATAGATGTTGGCCGATTCTCAGACCTACTCAATATGCTCACAAAATTTCATGAGAATCGGTCAAGCGGTATGGGAGGTCGGAGGAGTATGGGAACGAAAATTGTGACACGACAATTTTATATATAAGATTATTCGTTGGAATGGTTAAAAAATATATGTTATATCTCGTAAACAGAATTAAAAAGTAATATTAATTAACAATTCTAATCTTTTAATAGTCAAGTGCAAATGAAAACGTCATTTACGATTTAATTATTCAACATGTAAAACTTTCTTAAAAATATTATTTCTTTATTTGCATATATAACGACTGTTATTAATTAAGAATATGTATATTTTACTTTACCGTACACATAGT